GACTGAACTTTCCACAGCTCTAACCTGATCAAGACTTCATTACAAGCTCTTAAAAATGCTTTATGAGCTCACTTTCCACTGGTCCTGATGTCTTCTTGAGTAAAGTAAAACTTGAAGACTATTCTAGTTCATTTTATTGCAACTGAAGGTAGCTACTTCAAGATCAGACACTGTTTTTAAAGCTTCCTTTGTTTTTTCTAGATAGGTTTTCACATAACAGAACTACAACTTCTCTGTCACCTGAAGAGTAATAATTAATTCAACTAATATTATTTGACCAGCTATGTCAAGTATTCTTCTTGAGAGACTAAACAGCAACTGATGAACAGAATCCCAGCCACTGATGTCAGTAAGAAACTTTACATTCCTTCGGGATTCTGCCCTGAATCAAGCCACTGGGGATTAGGCAAAGAAGTTTCAAAGGCAAAGACATACCTTTGGCTCCTACTACGCTAGAGAGAAGGCAGAGGAGTGGACAAAAAAAAGTGGAGCTGTAGGCATCAAATATATCCTTTTGTAGCCCTGTGTATACCACTCCACTTTACTTTCCCGGTGAGATTCCAGTGGAGACAGGGCTTAATGACAAAGATGTGCTAACTTCATCCCACAGCTCTCTGATTCTTCTAAACAGTTGAACTGAATTCCATTTTTGAAAACAAAGGACTGGGAAAAAGGTATAGTTTTAATAAAACTGGCAGAAAACTATGGAATTATGTTATTCAGACACTTAAATTCAAATTGACACCGCTATACCCTTTGAACTGTACTTACACCGCAATGTAGTAAGTACTGGAGAGATGGAGACCAATCATACATTCCCATACAGCTCAACAGACAAAGTATCTTTAATGGGTTCTCTCTGATCTCTTGCAGAGTAAGAAAATTATACTCAAAGAGCCTTTTACAGCGCAGGAATGTCAGCTCCTGATATTTTTCACGACATAAATCTTCTCCAGGATGATGTGCAAACAGAGGATCGCTTTCCAAAGCAGAGAAGATTCTGTTCTTGAGGTGGAAAAAATGACATGATACTGTTAACCTAAAATTATTAGCAAAACAAGTTAATGTTCTTCTAGGATAATACTAGGCCTCAAACTACAATTGTCTGATAGAAAACTTAAATTTATAAAGCCAAAATTCCAGGGAGATAAAAAATGTATTTAAATGGTTCGTCACTTGTGCTGCAATTAATCTTTTTTTATGACAGGGCTAGCATTCAGCGAGGTAGGCATGCTAATCTGTCCAACTGCAATGCCACATAAGCATTAAGGCAAGCACAGAAGATTGCAAGAAATTAAGTCAGGTCAAAGGAAGACAGAAATACTATGCTTGGCAATTAGCTCATCATGTGCATTGTAAAAGAATAAGATATATGATTTAATGCAAACAGGACAGTAAAGAAATATGGGAGAATATAGTTCTTTCTCAGTTTGAAATTAATTTCTGCAATATAGCACCTCCTGGTCTCGCCTGTACTGGTGTTTGGTAATAAGACAGTTTAAGTAGGTTGCTTAAAAGTTCTGTTCTGGAAACTGGATGTGCAAAACCAATTTCTTCATGCTCCGTACCTATAGAGTATAAATGCTCCATATCTACAGAGTATAAATACTCCCCCTTTGAAAATCACATATTCCCCGAATTAAAACATGCTTACAATTCTTGCAAAGTTTACCTTCAGCTGGATGATATCTTCGCCATCTAGGAACACTGCCATCTCCTTCCAGTTGAAGGAGGCTTTCCTACGATATCTACAAAGTGGTCCTTTAGGTAAATCTGGTAGCAAAGTATCCCATGAGCTTTGGTTGCCAGTGGCTTCTTTCAGTGCGGGTGCCATTTTTAGCTAAACTGCACCAAACAAGAAAAGATACATCACAAACTGAAGCACCACAGATGACTAATTTTTTAATAATAAAAAATCAAAAGGGTTGCTAATTAAATCCACAGACTTTTTCAAATGAATGTGTACAATAGTGCAGAGCCAACTAAAAGATTGCCCTTTTTTAGTTTTCTAATTCACTTGGCTTGGTACAACCTAGGAAAAAAAAGCCTTTGACCAAATACAAATGAACTATATAGTCTTCCTTACTAAAATAAAAGCTAAACCTTGTCAAATAAGAAAAATATGAAACAGGGACACCACTGGTTAATACTGCATAATAAGAAAGGGAGGATGAGATAAAAATCCATGCAGTAGTACCACAGTAGTGACTTCTACAGAACATATAAAGCTATAAGGCTTTTCTTCTACATGGTTAATGGAGTTCTGGAAAATTGTAAGCACACAGGTATGCACTTCTCTTATGTGTCATCCTGTCATACTCAAGACCAAATTTAAAATAAGGTATAATTTTTGCAACAACACTTAAACTTGACCTTTCTTTCTTTCTTCCCTAAAGTTCAAATTTTCATTCCTATTTGTCCTAGTTTTTTGTTGGGATAACTTTTTTGGTAGCTGGCACAGTGCTGTATTTTGGATTTAGTGTGAGAGTAATGTTGGTAACACACGGATCTTTTAGTTGTTGCTAAGCAGCGCTTATCCTGATTAAGGACTTTTCAGTCTCATGCTCTGCCAGTGAGGAGAGGCACAAGAAGGCAGGAGGGAGAAGAGACAAGACACCTGACCCAAACTAGCCAAAGGGGTATTCTATACCACAGCACATCATGCCCAGTATAGAAACTGGGGGGAGTCACCCATCCTGGGACAATCACTGCCCAGGGTCAGGCTGGGCATCGGTCAGCAGGGAGTGAGCAACTGTGTTTTGCATCACTTGTCTCTCCTGGTTTCTCTCTCTTTTTCCCACTATTATTATTGTTATTATTATATTTTACCTTATTTCAATTATCAGATTGCTCATGTTTCAACCAGTGGGTTTTACCTTTGATTCCTCTCCCCATCCCACTGGGGGATGGAATGAGCAGTCACATGGTAACCCCAGTACCTGCCAGCTGGGGTTAAACCGCAACACTGTTATGTGATGGCTTGTCACATTTTTAGTCTGTCTTCCCACTATATATTTTTTCCAAATACACTTTTTTCTGTGCTGAGCTGACCTCATTATGTACATGATCAAAAGCAGTGAGGCCCTATTAAGTCTGCTGGCATTTTGTTGTGTGTATGGGTCATGCAAGTGCATTGCAAAGCTTCACAGAACCAGCAGGATTTCATTATCAGTAGGTACAACCGCACTGGTTTTGGAGAGAACGGGAATCTCGCTTTGTTTTAGAACCTGGCCCAAAGAGTAAAAGCTTACTCCTCTGCTATACCTCTTCCCGAAACAGATGTCGGAGTGCCCTCTGCTGCTACCTGCTTGTATCACACCCAGCAATTTCTGTCACGCAGGCGGCAGAGACGTGCGTTGTATTTGTAAAATGCAAAAATGATTGAGCAGGGAAACAGAAGCTGGCCACGTTATAAAAAGGGAACGGGCTGGAAAAAGCAGTTCTCAAGGGTACTGGAAGGGTACCCAGGCCCAGGGCTGGCCAAAGGCTCAGGATGGACTTTAAAGCACAGAAACTACTAGTTTGACATACTACTTTTTTTTTTTTTTTCCCCCCTCATTATCTTGATACAACTCCTTGCTATATCTCTTTTCTTTCAACCTAATACCCTTATGAAGGTCATTGTCTGCTTCTGGACAGTACAGACATAATAGAAGACGACTGCAAGGAAGCATTTCTGCATGACTTCCACATCGTTACTAGGAAGGTGCAGTTCCAGTACTGAGCAACAGGTCTGGAAAAAGAGCAGGTGGTGGAGGAGGGAGGGACTGAGAAAGAGCATTTCAACCTGAAGCTAAATAAACAGACATTGCACTTCTAATGTGAAACCAGGTAAACCAGGCAGGAGTTCAATGCTTCTGGCTCAGAACATACAAAAATTTACATTGCAGGTTTTGCATCTAACTTTATTTACACTGTAACTCACTGAGATTGCTCAAATGAGAAAACAGAAGTGCTTGTGAAAAAGGATCCTGTACTTCCAAAAAAGAATTAAATTTGTCTGTCCCCACACAAACATAATTTGGCTCCAAGCAAACAGTTTCAAAACTAATTAGGAAACCAAAGCAGGCAGTTACAACAGGAAAGTAGCGAAAGACTGCCCTGAGGAATGACATCAGTGTTAACTGCAGCCTTGCACTGACACTCCAAACTCTGCCTGGGGATGTGGCAGTACTAACTCATGTTATTTGCAACCTGCTGAGACCTGCTGCAGCTTCACTAGAAATGCCGAGTCGAAAACCTCTATACGTGGAAGGTGCTCCTGCCAGGAACTCAGATTCACGACAGGACAACACCAACGTGCAAATCACGAGCGAGTACTTTCGTTTGCAGTGTATTACCGTTAATTATCCTCAATACCGATATTGTGCCATCTTGCTGCCAGAAACACTCGCAAATGCAGAGCCGCTAGAAAAATGAAATTTAAAAGCTACCGACAGCAGTTGCCCTGAGAAAGACAACATCGGATTAAGTTAAAGGCAGGGAAAGAAATCACTTTAAGAGTCCTTGAGGTTTCGTTGCACAACCGCTATCGTAACTGCCCCACTTCGGAACGGGGCCTCACTCCTCCTCAGAAAGAAAACTAACACCTAATGCACCGGTTTTACTACGAAAAACGCACCGAGATTTGTTTCCATTAGCACCGGGCAGATGGGTGCCTCACCAGCTTGAGTCCGCTTTCAAGAAGGTGTTTTTAGGCTGATGTACCATAGCCATTAGCACAACGATACCGCTCTCCCTCAAACACACGCTGTAAGCACAGTAAGTGCCCTAGCCCACGTTCGTTCTGGACAAGGACGGAGCCCCGTGTCTCCCACCTGCAGCACCCACAGCAGTTACCTAACGCGTCCCACACGGCAGCCGCTGCGGCTCCCGGGGAGGGTAAACGGGAGGCGGACACCCCGCGGCCGCGCCGCTTGAGCTTCAACGCCGCGACCCGGGCGACAAGGACGCCGTTCTTACCTGTGCTACTGCTGTCCCCGTCCCTGTCCCCGCCTCAGGAACTGACGGAAGCAGCCTGCGACGCGCTCCGCCTCCTACCCCGCGGCGGCGGCGGGGCGGGCGATGGGGTTGGTGCGAGCAGTGGGTGTGCGGGATGGCGGGGCTGCGCTGCCTCATGGCTTCTGGGCCGCGGTGCGTGTCTGGTTGGAGAAGCCGCAGGTGGCCAACAGGCGGCTGTGCGGCGCCGCCATTGAGGTGGAGGGGACGGTGGCGCTTGGGAAGGGCGGGGAAGAGTCGTCCTCCTTCGCTGCCGTATGGGGAAGCGAGGAACAGGGGGAGCGAGTGGCGTCTGCCGGGGCTGCGGAGCTGGGCCGGCTCTGGAGGGAGGTCTGCGCCCAGCTGTCACCGGAGCACGGGCATCTGCCGCCGCCTCTCACGCCTTGGGCCTGGCCGGACCCCCGCGCTGAGCTCCGCGCCGTGCTGAGGACGCTGCTGCCCCGGGCGCGCCCCGCCGGTCCGCCCGCACCACCGATGAAGGAGCTGGCGGTCCAAGGTGAGCGGGAGCTCGGCGGCGAGGGAGGGCGGAGGGCAGCGGGGCCACCGCCATGCTGGAGCGCGGTGTCTGCTGCGGGCCCGGCCGAGGTTGTCTCGCAAGTCAGATGAAAACCGCTCTGTTCCTACTTGTGAGAGTGCAGACTTGTTGTCGTGTGCTTAGATATTATTTTTACCTCTTTTTTTTTTTTTTTTCCTGTAGTGCTGGGAAGTGTGAACAGTTGAAATGCAAATTACAGAGACCAAACACCTGTAGGACTCCTGTTTAAACAACCCCGTCTACAGCCTTAGGGAGGCAGAGTAAAGGGGGAGCTAATGTGTTATGTGTAAGGTGCTGCTGAGATGAGGAAAGCATTTAGGGAAGCTAAGTACTCTGCTCCTGAAGAGGTGTAGATGACTGCTCATCTTTTTGTCTTCTTTGAAGAAGCAAGAAGGGCTGTCATCCTGCGTGCTTCTGCCCTGAGTAATCTGCCCATACAAAAAATGCTGCTTGCGGTGCACACCTAATGATGGTAGCCTTTAGAAATGCACTTAATGAAAAAAGCAGGCAGCTGTGGCACCTGTCTGAGCAAGCTGAGCTGTTTGTGTTATTACTTAGTATTGCTTAAAAGATGAAGCTAAATATTTTGTTTGGGTTGGGTTGGTTTTGTTTTTTTACCTTGTATGATGGTAATATGCTGCAGTAAATCCTACCATTAAGAAACGTATAAGGTAGAAGTTGACACCTTTTTAAGATAAATTTGGGGAGAAGTAGGGATGGGGAGTAAATTCTTATAGTAAAGCTTTGAAAAGAATCAGAATTCTGGAAGCAATGAAATTTACAATTCAGAAAGACCTGTAGTCATTTATGGGATGCTCTTGGGGCCTATAATTCTGACTCTGATGCCTTCAAATCAAAAGGAAGTGTATGTTTTTTTTTCTTTTGATGTTAAGATGTTCCTGAGCTACATCTAGAGAGCCTATCTGTAACAAAAAGCTTGGGAGAGTAATTTAATTAGGAAAAATCAAATTTAGAAGTAAAATTTAAAGAAAGAGAGGGAATTAACTAAGGATGGGCCAAGACACAATGTTTTTTTCTATTGCTAATTTATCATTTCCTGTCTCAGAAAATTGTCCACTGAAGTTTGATTACTCAGCCAATGCAGCATTCTTGGTTTGAAGATTTGCATTTGTCAGGATGTTTTCAAAAATGAGAGCAAGGTATTCTGGAGAAGTCACCCTGGATAAACACCTAAAAAGATTTTTGCAAGTGTTTTATAAAGCAATAATGCATACATATGTGCCATAAAATATGTAAAAGTGAATGCTTTTACAGTCACTTTATAGGAAGGATATAGGGAATAAGTTATTAAGATTAAAGATAAATCAGTAGCATGTGAGTACTAGGCTTTATCATGCAATTCATGCTCTGCTGCAGTTGCCTTTTTATTTGTAAGTTATTTCAAAAAGACACAGTCTCTCTTTTTAATTGTGTAGGGGTTAGTTACAGTACGTGTATGATTGATATTAAAGAATGAAATGTGGCAAAGTTGCAGAGTATCTTGAAATATAATATAGGCACTCAAGTGCATTGCCAGCTGTTTGTCAGCCCATTTCAACTCTTCCAGAATCTCTAGTTTTAGAATCTGTCACTGGACAAAAACGTTTTAGTCTACAGGTGGTTGATACTGTTAAGATCAGTAGTGTTGTTGCTGAACATAACATGTTAACATAATATATGCACCTTCACCTAAAACCAGATCTTATCAGATTATCTGCCTTCAGAGTTATGAGATACTAATTTAGGGATAGATAATGTCGTTTTTACAGTGCCTTAATCCATGAACTCTGTTTGGAGAAGCTGAATGACAGTGAGGAAGGTATCTCTGCTCAATTATAATCGTAGAATAGTTCACACAATAAATAGATCCCATGCTTGAACATGGCAAAAATGATAGATATTAATAATATTAATTAGTAATGCTGAACTGATATTTTTTAGTTTTTATTAATCTAATACTGGGGTTTCAGTTAATTTGTGATGTGCTTCCCAGGATTCTGGATTCACTGTGGGGCAGGGGAAGGCACCAATTTTGTGGCAGAAAAATTTTGTTGTCTAGCTTTTTCTTTATTGAAATAGGTTTAAAGAAAATAGTCTCGGCAGTCAGCCTTGGATGTTCTGAAAATGTTATTCAGCAGAATGCTAAATTTTGGGAATGCAAACAGGATAGTAGTTTTAAATGTCAGGCACACCAAGAAATGGATTTATTCTTAGCACTGTGATTTTTCATGTGTTGTCCTAGGTATCCCTTCAGTAATTTGCACTTAATATAGAAAAGAGATAAAAGTTTGTTTTGGTGCTAAAAAGAATGGTTTGAACCATGGGATAACCTATCACTATTTATGTATCTTTTCAGATGTTTACAATGGAACGGTGACCTTTCTGCCCTTGGAGGAAAACAGTGAAGGAAAATACAAGATTAAAAAGTGCAATATTTATCAAATTCAACTTGTGTACATAAAAGATGAGGAATGGTAAGTGCTGGAGGCAAGAGAGGAAGCAAACCCTGAGTTATGGCAAGGATCACACCATGTTTTAGTATTGGTATCTAGGTAATTTCCTGCTTGATTAAGTAAGTGACAGTAGTGATTGTTAAACATCTACAATACACAAAACAACACAAATCTGTTTCAACTTTGAATGTATACATTGAATGTACTCGTGGGGTGTAGAAAAAAGTATGCGTATTCTGATCGTGAGGAACTAGCTATGCCTGTGAGAGCTCAGGTTCTGAAAGTGTTGATAAGGTTGAGGGTCAGACTAGAACTGCTGTGAGTTTACTGAGCTACAGTCATTGAAACATAGACCATTGCAGTTTGGTCCTGAGCATTTGCAGGCATAGCTCTAGTGAAATATGAGTAAAGCTGGAGATGATGAAATAATCAAACATACCAACTGATATATTTTCCTTCTAAATTTTCTTGTTGTTTTCATGAAACTTTTATTAATTCACTTCTACTAGTTAGTGTTTGGACATTTTGCTACATCGGGTTTTTCATCATATGCGAGACTTTGGTCTATGTGTTAAATGCAGCAAGAAGTCTCGTGCAGTGTTTGAATAGGCAGATACTAAGCTAACAAAATTCAGGGGAGACTGTTCCGTTATTCAGTAACTTCACTGTTTGGTTTTGTGTATTATGTATTTTCTTATTCTCCAGTCTACTTTTATATTTTTGATTTGACTTTTTTTAATCCACTTAATCATTGTATTCTCTCTAAGGTAGCTGAAATTATGAAATAACCTGTATTTATACGAAGTTCTTATTTTATTTTAAAGGTCTGTTTCTATTGTAGCTCCATTTCCAGAAGACTGGTTTTCAGATGGAATTGCATACCCCAAACTAGCATGGCTTGAAAATGAACTTTTGTCCAAATTGGCTAAATGGTCTGTGGAGCAAAAGCCCAGTGAGTTTAAAAGTACACTCTCACTCATTTCTGTAGCAAAATACAGCAAGGTTTATCAAGACCTTAAAGAAAAATACAAGGAGATGGTAAAGGTAAATTTAGTAAATGCAGTATTAATATGTTTTCCTATGCTTTCTTATATTTTTTGTAGTTTTAGTGAAGCTGCTGCTTTCACTAAATCCACAAGCAGTGGATTTAAATATGAAGTCATTCACACTAGAAAGCATAAAGCCCTTCCTTCTCCAAAAGCTTAGTCTGGAAGCAGCTCTGGATAGCAAATAGGTTAAACTTACTCAAATTTGGATGCTATGTTAGTGTGTGTTTCAGTTAGAGGGGCAATGTTGTATTATTGTTTACCCTGGGGATGCTGAAAGATTGCTGTATGAATTAATGCCTATACACCAGACTGTAGCTGCAAGCAAGAAAAATTAGGAAATGATTTTGTAAAACATACTGTGAAAATGTTGAAAGGTTTTATTGTTGATATTTCTACACTAATAGAAAGATATAATTAGAGGAAAATTGGACTTCTGGGTAAAGGTAACGGTTGTCTTTAGCTTTGCAATAAAATTAGTGTAGTGTTGGAGCATTTTAATCTTTGTTTCGGTTCTCTCATTCACAAAATAGGGATGATACTTTGTGTCTTCCTACTTCAGATTTTGATTCTTCATGTTCTGTTGTGCCACGATAATTCTATGTCTATTATGTTTTGAAAATACATTTGCAAATGTTCATGTTATCAGTGTTTCAGGAATAATACAAGTATTTTTCTTCTGAGTCAAGCAAAAGGATGCATGCTCTATTACAGAGCAGCTGTAGCTGTTTACTTGATTGGATGACAGTAGACATTCTTTATGCCACAATTCTTTTGTGTGACTCACAAAGTCAGACAGTCTTTATTTATATTCTTTCTGTATATTTTAAATGAGATTAACATACAGCATTCGTGAAGTGCAGAAACCTGTTGAAGTGGATGAGTATCCAGGTTGAGCACTTTTTGAAGTAATTTCAGATGGTGCAGAAAATAATTTTTCTCTTGTTTTTTTGAAGGTGTGGCCTGAAGTGACAGATCCTGAGAAATTTGTTTATGAAGATGTTGCCATTGCCACTTACTTGCTGGTAGGGAACTGCCTTCCCTAAGATTATTCTATAAGTTTCTGTTGCTCAGTAATAGAATTATCCTACAGAAAATCAGTATTTTCATTTTATACTTGTTGCATTTCTTTTTTAAATAGAATGACCTGAAGTTATTACAGGCATACAAGGCAAAAGGAAGATGTTGGGAGAAAGGATGTGGAGTTTATGGGTTTCAGTAGAATCCTAGAATTGTAGAGTGGTTTGGTTTGGAAGGGACCTTAAAGATCATCCAGTTCCAACCCCCTTGCCACAGAGAGGGACACCTTTCACTAGACCAAGTTGCCCCAAGCCCCATCCAGCCTGGCCTTGAACACTGCCAGGGATGGTGCAGCCACAGCTTCTCTGGGTAACCTGTGCCAGTGCCTCAGCACTGTCATAGTAAAGAATTTCTTCCTAATGTCTAACCTAAATCTTCTCTCTTTTAATTTAAAGCCATTCTCCCTTGTCCTATCACATGTCCTTGTAAAATGTCCCTCTCCATCTTTCTTGTAGGTGCCCTTTAGGTACTGGAAAAATGTTACATGTGCCAATATATAGCCAGTTGATTACAAATAACATTTTTGGTTTTATTTTCAGCTCTGCCACCAGTTCTTTAATACAGTGGATATAAATGTTTCTGTGGTGTTACTTACAGAGACACTGTTGAAGTTTACTTGCCACTTCCTCTGTTTGTCTATGGCTGCCTTTGTTTTAGCAAGTTACTTTACATTTACACTCAGTCTAGCCCAGGGCTGTATAGCCTTGATTAATTTCAAATTCAGGTGACTCAGAAGAAATTGGAGGATGCGCTTAGCGCTTAGAAAATGATTGATACTTTGTTGGTTGATGAGAAGCTGAACATGAGCCATCAGTGTATGCTCGCAGCCCAGAAAGCCAACTGTGTGCTGGGCTGCAGCATGGTATCAAAATGATATCCTAACAAAAGGAGCATGGTAACAGGTCAAAGGAAGTAATCCTGCCCCTCTATGCTCTGCTCTCATGAGACCCCACTTGGAGTATTGTGTGCAGTTCTGGTGTCCTCAACATAAAAAGGACATGGAACTGTTGGAACAAGTCCAGAGGAGGGCCACAAGGATGATCAGGGGGCTGGAGCACCTCCCATATGAAGACAAGCTGAGAAAGCTGGGGCTGTTTAGCCTAGAGAAGAGGAGGCTGCATGGAGACCTCATAGCAGCCTTCCAGTGTCTGGAGGGTGCCTACAAGTATGCTAGAGAGGAGCTCTTCATGAGGGACTTTAGTGATAGGACAAGGGGTAATGAGTTTAAACTTACATATGTAAAGTGCAAGGTAGGTATAAGGAAGAAGTTCTTTACTGTGAGGATGGTGAGCCACTGGAACAAATTACCCAAAGAAGTGATAAATACTCCATCCCTCGACGTGTTCAGGGCCAGGCTGGACGGAGTCTTGGGTGGCATGGTCTAGTGTCCATGGCAGGGGGGTTGGAACTAGATGATCTTAAGCCCTAACTATTCTGTCAGTTGATGATCACATAATTACTGCCCCTCTCTGTAAAGTTTGTGGTTTTGTTGTTTGTTTGTTTTTTTTCTTCCCACGTATCAAGTTGTTTCCTCTGTGACTACAGGGAATATGTTCTGTCACATCTGCATTCTCTTCAAGCTTTCTTCTTTAATTTCCGATAACCTCTGCTGCTTTCTTACAGGAGAGATGAGAGCAGAAGTCTAAAATGTTTTCTTCTCTTGTCTTAGATTCTTTGGGAAGAAGAGAGAAAGGAAAAAGGGTTGACTAAGAAACAGTCATTTGTAGATCTTGGATGTGGAAATGGTCTGCTGGTTCATATTCTAAATAATGAAGGGGTAAATAGAGTGCTTTTTAAATAATAATTAAAACCCAGAGATAATCAGTAGTCTTGTTATGTTTTCTTTTATCTGGCATGCAGATAGCCAAAATTGTTAATTCATGTTGCTAAAATAGGACTTTTGTCACTTTAGTTACCAGGTTAAAATTCTAGCAGAGCTTCAGAAACCTTTCACTTATTTATCTGTTCTTATTAGTGTAATTCACTTCAATTCCAGGCTAGTTTTCAGAGGTGAGACACTAAGAGGGAAAATAAAAAGTGATTACATAATTTAGTTATGCTCTAGACAAAGTAAAAAGGAATGGGGAATCTTAATCTAGAGATTCTCTCTAGCAAGATGCTTTCCATGAACTTAATTTTATTGGAATTGAATTCTACTTGTCATGCCCTAAAAATGTTTTTCTGTATCTTTAGAAACAATCCTGTGATCTGTTAATTGTGAAAATGCCTATCAATGTAATGTGCTTTAGGGAGTGAAAATGTGGCAACAGCAGAATTTAGTTGCTTGAGGCATAGTTTCTGAAACAGCAAAGAAAGTGAGATTGAACAAAACCCAGTGAAGTTGAGTCTTTCAGAAAATTGTATTTTCCACTTTTGGGAGAACATGTTAAAGTGTGTTAATTTAGGAAATTACTACCTCCTATTTGATCAATAGATGTCATTGGCAGTAGGAAGAAGTCCCAAGTTCTCCTAGCACAAGTTTTCTGTCTTTGTGTAGCCAGAAAAATTTGATCTGCTGTAAACCACTGTTTTACCTGTGGAGGTTTCTTTTCGTACATCATTAGGTCATCACTGCTATAGCACTGACAGACATTGTTGACTGGCAAGAAATCATGTGTGAGAGTTTTATGAGACTTGGTACCTGATTTTGGTTAGTTCTGCACATTATTATTGAAATTCAAATACTGTAACTTATGCATTTTTAGGTCTTGCTTTAGTTTCCAGTCCTATTTCCTCTTTTCATGAGTTCACACAGGGAAAGGTGTGTTTGAACTCCAGCAGGCTAATTGACTTCAGTAGCTGAAGGGTGTCTGTCCAGCAAGAACTGCTTAGAGTAGCCCTCTTCCCTGAGCCCTGTGAGTGATACAGCAATACTCGCCTCGGGATAGGTTTTGATATTTTAAAAGCAAACAAAAAGCTTCTACCCAAAATGGTGAGGCTGTGTTTCATTATGTGTCTAAATTGTGGTATGAATGAATTAAGTCAGTATTAATTCATTTAGTGAGGCTATTTGACAGTTTCTGCTAAATGTAGTACTTAAAAATGATACTTTTTCTTCTTCAAATATTTCAGCATTCAGGTAGAGGAATTGATGTGAGGAGAAGAAAAATATGGGACATGTATGGATCAGGAACTCATTTAGAGGTATTATGCAAATGTATGTCAATTTTACTGATTTGTAACTTTATTCATTTCTTCATTGCTTCAGGTTGTGTTGATGCAAATGTAATCAAACAAATGAGGTTGCAGACAGTTCTCTAAAAGTGATCTGTGGGTTTGGGATGATGACACCCATATATCTTGTGGGACTGTGCATCGTTAAGGGAATTAGGAGAGCAATACTTGTATATTTGCAACTTCCTTATTTTTCATCTAAGACTGTCTTGATTTCCTTCTGCATATACAGACATGCACACCAGAAACAATCTTTGGTTTTACTGGAAGATCAGTATTAAGCAGCTTTGTTTCTACCACTCTACCTCCTAAAAAGTATTAATATCCAGAGTTGTGCACAGTTTATTCTTGAAAGTGATTCTGACCTTCTAGTGCTATGTGCTGTTTTGGGGACAAAATTGTTGAACCTCAGAGGAGCCAATCTCTTCTGTACTGAGCTTACGGTAAATAATAGCAATAATAGCCTTCATAAAAAAATGAACAGGAAAATGAGTCTGAAAGAGGGATTACATTTCAAGTTCCACATTAGCATTTTTGTGAGCATTGGAGTATTCACTAACTCCATCTGTTCTTGGTCAGATACTTGTCAAAGTGTGGTACTGATGAACAGTTGCCCTTTGGAGGTGAGGTTCATGGCTTCTTGTTCTCTAGACTCCTGAAATTCCTCACTTTTCTCTCAAAAATTGGCAGCGTCAAATATATTAGAATTTTCCACCTGTAGTTTTCTAGTAGTTTTGTTTAAAAGTTAATTCAAGGTATCTTTGAATGCTAACATTTTGTGTTAAATCAGTAAAAGAGCAGCAGTTTTCACAGACGGGAGGTGGAGCTTTCACAGCCTTGTGCAGCCTCCTCTTTGCCACCCTGCCATTTTGGGTGCAGATTGCCAAAACTGACAGATTCCTTTGCAGCACTCTGCAAGCAGATTGTACTGCAAGGCTTCAAGAAACAATCTGAAACATCAAGCTGTGGTAAGCCTTCATTTGTGTTACAGAATCATAGAATCCTAGAATGGTTTGGGTTGGAAGGGACCTTAAAGCTCATCCAGTTCCAACCCTCTGCCATGGGCAAGCACACCTTCCGCTAGACCACATTGCTCCAAGTCCTGTCCAGCCTGGCCTTCAGCACTTCCAGGGATGAGGCGTCTGCAACTTCTCTGGACAACCTGTGCCAGTGTCTCACTGTTACACTATATTATGTTCTGATCATACTAAACCTGTTTTATAGGTTTGTTTTTCTGCTCACGTTTCAGTATTATGGAGAGTGTTGAATTTTGGACATTCGTTTCATATTGAGGTCTGGCTGTTTACAGTTTCTCATATTTCTTGAATCATAAGGAAACTTCTGAGCATCAGCTGTCCCTCTCTGCAGCATGAGGCAGCAAAATACAAAAGGGCATGTGTTATTTGTCTTTTTTAAAAGAAAAAAAAGACTTCAGAGAACACTTGAAAAATCCAGACACAAAACAAATATATCCAAAATATATATATATATATATATATATATATAAAGAAAGTACTAATTTATGAGGGAAGGAGTTATATAACAAACAGGAAGGGTGAAATGATTTTTCAAGGCTCCAGTAGGTACAGGAACCACAGACAGAGAAAGCACATACTCACAGCTTTTTGTTAACCTCAAAGCTAATTTAGTTGTGATTTTTACTTAAAGCATGAGTTGCAGGATGAATATTGCCATCTGTGACACTCACTGCCAATACTAACAATATAAATGAATTTAACAGGTGGCGTTACACATTGCCAAACTGCTGTCAGACATGGTGAATACAAATTTGATTACAGGTCACTGTCAAAATGTGGAGTGTGGCACTGATAATTCTTCTATGCCTAAATTGAACAATCAAAACTGAACAGTAATGTAGGAGTAATTTATTTAATCAACTATAGGAAAATCTTACCAAACATTTGATTTAACATCTACTAACCTGACAAAAAGAAATGTTACATATAATATCTAAACGTATATATACGTAAATAAAAATGGTTAGACATTGTATTTAAGGGGAGCAGTAATACACCATACTAATACTTAAAACACCTAACATAGTGCTTTCTGAAGGGGGAAACTGGGGTGTAATCGAGGTAGTCTTAAGATTTCTGAAATTCTCTAGTAAGTGTTTTTTGGTCTTGTTTAGGTTTTTTGGTTGGTTGGTGGTTTTATTTAATTCCTATATAGATGCTACTTTGTGTATACATGTGAATTTTGAACTCGTAAAACATGCATTTTGTCTATAGAAGGAGTATGGGCATCATTTTCAGGGCTTTTCCTAAAGATCTCTGGAGAGTTAATTTAAAACTTTTTCTCAAATCTGCACATAATTATTTTGAGATTCATACAGGGTTTTGCAGAAGAGTATGTGTACTTCCACAGTATCAAAATCTTTTAAGTGCTTTCTTTGCTGAACTTGGTTCAAGGTATGAAAACTATTCTGCGAGTCAGTACTGTGATGGGAAGACTTCTGTGCTGATGCCTCCTCAATCCATATATATTGAAATTCCATGAAGCAAAATACTATTCCAAAGCCCACCAAAGAAACCTTCTTTCTTTAACCTATTTTTTCCTATTTTTGCTCCTGATTTCGCATGTATCGTAAGGTAGTTTTGGTGCAACTCAGCAGGGTGTGGAATGGCAAGTGTTAGGCTGGGTTAGGTTTCTTCTATGTGAATTATTAGGTGTGAAGGGTGATGTTCTGTCTATTAGGATTTGATTTGGGAAGAGTCTGTGAATAAGAAGGTAATAGTAAAGCTGTGTTCTGATTAGTTGCTATGTGAGTCCTAGGTCTGTAAGACATACCAAATAGTGGCTTTCTGCCAAATTAAGTCCATGCATACATGCAACAGAAGGAGAACGGCAAGCAATCCTAATCCAATATGTGATACTTAATAGAATCATAGAATAGTCAAGGTTGGAAAGGACCCTAAGATCATCTAGTTCCAATCCTGCTGCCATGGGCAGGGACACCTCACACTAAACCATGTCACCCAAGACTCCATCTTTAGGGTGCCAGGTACCTTAACCAAAACTGTTATTCCACTCTTTGTCCAACCAGTGTCACTAACTTACTGCTTTATAGCTATAACAAATTACAACCTGGCAAAATTGTAGATTGAGGAAAAACGTTGGTGTCTGTGGTTCTCATTCACCTTGTGTTTGTAAGCTTGTATAATTTTATATTGTTGCTTAGTTCTTTTATTAACAAATAAAATGGATTTAAAGGAACCTGTAATATAATTCATTAAATGTATTGTTTGGTTGGTTTTGGTTTGGTTTTTTTTTTTTTTTTTTTTAGGAATCTACAATCATGCCAGGTGACACTCATCTCTTTCCAGACACTGACTGGCTCATAGGAAATCATTCAGATGAATTAACACCATGGATACCTGTAATTGCAGCTAGGTATCTTCAGAGGGAGGGAAGTGCGAGGGAAGGAATTAAACAAACAAACCAAAGCATAATTACATATGTGGGCTTGGTGCACACTGTTACTTTGCAGCCACATCTGCTTTCCTTGCTGCTTTTGATGGCAGTTGATTATTTCTACATAATTTCATTTCCTGTGGAAAAGCACAGATGTAGTGTTTACTTTCTTATAGAATTCAGTACAGCATTTTGCTTTCCAAGTTCAAACCTCAGAACTGATGTGAATCTGTTGTTTGGTTTTGTGGTGGGGGGGGGGGGGGTGGGGGTGTGTGTTCTTTATTTGTTTGTTTTTTAAAATTGCTGTTGGTTCTTCCTTACTTTGAACCATTGTGCCCTTTGCAACCAGCTGCAATAGCTTAATATCTGCAGCTGTAGTCTTGCAACCCAACTTGGTGCAGTAATTTGCTATAGCAAATACTTTGTGAAACAGTGTTTTTGATTCTGATAATAGATCTACTACAAGAGGGAAATATAAATACTATTTCATGCAGCTGTCACTTAATGAAAATTCCCATTATTGTATCTAATGGGTTATTTGTTAAATATGTGCATTCCCTGAAGCAACATTCTGTTCAGGAGTTTGTTATCCTTCTTGTAGGTCTTCCTATTCTTGTCGCTACTTTGTGCTGCCCTGTTGCTTCTTTGATTTCTATGGAAAATACAGCCGAAGACAAAGCAAGAAAACCCAGTACAGAGAGTATCTTGATTTCGTTGCCCAAGTGGGATTTGTATGCGGCTTTAATGTGGAGGAAGATTGCCTTAGAATTCCATCAACAAAGAGGGTAATTTTGGACTATGTAGGGCTTTTGTCTTTTTAATTATTATTACTTTAAGCTGCTAGCTGTCTGAAACATACGGATGTTTGTTCATTATTGTCCTAAGATCAGTTGCATTACTTGAGACAGTATGCTCTGCAGAGATAGTATAAATACTCAGAAAGGGAAGGTTTTATGATTATTTCTTTTGCCAGGCTACAGGATGGAAAACTCGTGAAGCTTTTTGTTGTTGTTTTTTTTTTTTACTTAATTTTCCCAGCTGCCTGTGTTGCATTATTTGAACTTAATTTTTCTGTTTTTCATGTCCATGAAATTCAAAGTGGAATGTCCTCAGAGTAGGAAGAGGTATCCAGCTTTAATTTTATAAACAATCTGAGGGCCAGAAGTAATCTTTACTCTGTGCTTTTGTGGCATGATGGCTTATGGCCTGATTACTGGATTTCTTCTGTGGCACCAATATTTGGAGACTAAAATCAAGAAACCCTCAGATGTTAATGAGCATTGAGTTTGAATGGATATCTCCTGTAGGTGGATTTAGAAGCCTGTGTGTAAGACATGTGCACGTTGGAAGGCCGTGTGTATGGGAGACTGTTTAAATAGTTATTTATCTGTTTCTACTAAATAGGTAAGCCTTATTGGAAAAAGCAGGACCTATCCACCTGCAGAACATGCTCTGATTGACAAGCAGATAACACAGTATATTAATAATCATCAGACCTGTGCTCTGCTCATGTGTAACAGAAAAGTTGCATGTAATCATAAGGACCACTCTGATGTGTGCAAAGAAGCCAGCTCTGAACTTCCTGAAAATGAGACTAAGACTGCTGGTACAATTTGGATGCCTGGATTTCAACCCAGAGAAAAAGTAGAACAAATCAGAAACTGTGCTTCCCTCCCTCGGGATTTTGTAGATGATGTGGTTCTCAGTGTGGCAAACTTGCTGTTAAATGCAACCTCCCAAAACTCATGTTCTGATATGCGTGATCGAAATACAAATACCTGGAATCAAGGAGGTGAGATTGTCTTTGCTTTCTTTATCTTTTGCTGGTAGAGGATGTCTTTTTCCAATGCATTGACATAGTTTTTAAACTTACTAAAATAGAATTGCAGAATCATAGAATCATTAGGGTTGGAAAGGACCTTAAGATCATCCAGTTCCAATCCCCCCTGCCATGGGCAGGGACACCTCACACTAAACCATATCACCCAAGGCTCTGTCCAGCCCGGCCTTGGGCGCCGCCAGGAGTGGAGCATTCACAACTTCCCTGGGCAACCCATTCCAGTGCCTCACCACCCTCACAGTAAAGAACTTCCTCCTTATATCCAATCTAAACTTCCCCTGTTTAAGTTTTAACCCATTACCCCTTGTCCTATCACTACAGTCCCTAATGAAGAGTCCCTCTCCAGCATCCCTATAGGCCCCCTTCAGACACTGGAAGGCTGCTATGAAGTCTCCACGCAGCCTTCTCTTCTCCAGGCTGAACAGCCCCAACTTCCTCAGCCTGTCTTCATACAGAAGGTGCTCCAGTCCCCTGATCATCCTCATGGCCTCCTCTGGACTTGTTCCAACAGTTCCATGTCCTTTTTATGTTGAGGACACCAGAACGTCACACAGTACTCCCAAGCGAGGTATAGTTTTTAGGCAATACCATGAGCAGTACAGTAGCAATTAAAGGCACTTTTTTTTATTCTGCAATGTTTTATTGCACACTAGGATGTTAATAAAGCATAAGTTTATAAGTTATTGTAAGAATTATATATTCTTATAGGAATATTTTGGAATTGGTGTGGGTTTTTTTGCTTTACACTTAAATACTAGGCCTGCATCAATTTTTATTACAAAAGCCAAACCAAACCCACAGCTCCTCCCTCTGTACTAAAACAGAACATATACACCTATCTGTGGAGAACAGTAAGTTTTCTATCATAACAGCTATAATTTTGTAAGAATCGTGTAAGAAGTGCTTTGAAGTGCCATTTGATTATGACATGATTAGGAATTTTTAGTTTAGTCTTAGGAAGAAAAAGAGCAGACGTTGTTAATTTTATAAGCATTCTCGCTACCATCGTTCCATTTTTCTCCATTTTTATTATTTACTTACTTGTTGTTTGTCGTATGTTACTGTTACAGGATATCCCTTGAGTCATTCTCTTTTCTCTAAATATGTGCATGTAAACAGTGCTTATTGCAATGAAGGTTACTTGGTACTACAAAAAAAGGATGAAAATAAAAAATTCCTTACTGTGGAAATTCTGACTTGAGTCCTGTAGAATGAAACCTGCTATTTTACAGACAATACACATATAAAATTGTATCACACATAATATTAGGAGTTCAAAGTTGATGCAGTACTGGTAAATAGTTCATAGATTCTGCTCATAATCGTTAACTTATAAAGTCCTAAGAAAATTTAACTTCTACATATGTATACATTTCAATAGCTACACCATTATTTATTGCAGAAAGCCTTTCCTTGAAAGAAGTAGCAGAACACTTACATAAAGAGACTTTAAAAAGGCTAAAGAGTGAATATGGAGGCCTGCAGACACTTCTCAAGAACAATCATCAAGTATTTGAAGGTAAAGAAGTGAGGTTTAGTTTTGGTTTGGTTTTCTTTAATAATTTATTTTGTCTCCTCTGTATGCTGTTAAACACAACTGGAAAATTACTGTGGTGGTGGTTTTGTTTTTTTAACCACTTTCAATATCTGTCTGGCCTTATCAAGATCCACAGTGTAAGTGCTGACACAAAATAAAACCAGTCTTCATGCGAATCTGTTAACTGTGAGGCTTGATGTGCTTACATAGACTGTGGTGGCATGGCAGAAAGAATTCAGTAGCAAGTTTCTGTGGTTGCCTGGGTTTGTCAATAATTTTGTTGCTTGTATGTTTGGGGTATTTTTCCCCATTGTGGCGGTGTGTTTTGTGTGGGTTTTGGTGTGTGTTTTCATTTGTTTGGATTTTTTGAGGGTTTTGTTGTGGGGTCTTTGTTTTGTTTGGAGTTTATTTTTTGTTTGCTTTGAGCTAGTCACACTGCATTTATTATGTGTCTGAATTGGATTCCCTGTCGTTAGGGATAGGTAGAATAGATTTACAACCTGTTAAATGGAGTGAGCGTTTTAATTAGGTATGGATGCTGTCTGCACATTACCTCTGAAGAAAGACTAGGATTAAGGCCATATCTTTCTTAGCAATTTACATCACATGGAAGCTCCATGGAGCTTCAGTAGGGACTGTTTGATTCTTTCCTTCACCATGTCACCATAACAAGTGACTTCTATCAGCAAGTGGTCTATGAGGACATTGCTCATGCCAAAGGCAACAGAGAACAACATGGCTGCAGCTTTTTTGCCATTTTTTTCTAAAGTGTATTTCTTTTAAACTTAAGGAAAACGGATGCACACACACACAAAAAGGGGCTTAGAGTGGCTGATCTGTGGCAGTTTCTTTTGATCTGGCATCTTGTCCAGTACAGGTCTGGTTTTCTAGTTAAAAATACACTTGATCATAAATAGCACTAGATCTGCTCATTTTTCTTCATCATTTGAGAGAGTTGTTAAAGCTGAACGCACTCCTGGATTGCCTTTGTATGAGTTCAGATCAATTTGTGTATCACAGGGAAACCTTGAGGGATGACTTCATCCAGGCCTAAATGTGTGATACTAAGCTTTCATTTGACTTGTTACCTTTGGAATAGCAGTTATCAGAATGCACAATGGTGTCAGTTAACTGATGCAAGTGTGTAATACAGAAGGTATGATTGAAGCAGAATATGAAAATAGAGCATGGCAACTTAGAAATGGCAGATTCTTCCCTCCTCATTTTCACTGTTGTTTTTAATCTTTTTTTTTTCTTTCTCTCTTAAATTTTATTCTGTTTTGTTCACACATTTAAGGAACTGGCAAAGGTTCCCAAACGTGTGTGTGCAGTTTATGGTCCTGATGCAGCAGATGAATTAAAAGAGTGCACAAAGTGGCAAACTATAATTCCCTGATGGTTCATATGAAGGATTAGACTTTTCATCTCCTTGGTGCAGTGTATTTTTTGGGTCAGTAAACCATTGTCTTTGCAAAAGCATTTCTGTGTAGTGAAAAAGTAATAGAACTCTTACTAGATTTTTACTGTTAATCACATTTCAAATGTGGGATACTTTGAACACAGGAAGGATTACAGTTCTTGAAGCTGAAACTCCTTTGTCAGGATTTGCAGTCTAAATTCAGAGGATTTTAGTCTACATGATCCTAACTGCTGTATTTGAAATAAGCGTCTACAAAGTTGATACAAAGGTACCTCAAACTATTCAGCATCACAATAAAGCATCTCACAGGGAAAACAATCAATTCTGCTTTAGACCATGTCTATATCATCTTGGTTTGTTACATAGTTCTTTCCATTCCTGTGCACGTGGCACGTTTGGTTTTGCCTGAGTGATCCATTTGTAGAACATATATTTTATTCACAGGCTGTCACTGTGCATTTTTTCCAGTATAATTCCCATGGCTGTCTATTCACAGCTGCTTTTTGTTTGTTTCTGAATCTTAGTTCTAAATGGGAGAGTTCATATTCGTGACTGGAGAAAAGAGAAACCGTCAAGGAAAACTAAGCCTGAAGTGAAGCGCCGCCTTTCAGCTGAAGCATTTAAAACACGTCTCTGTTGGTTTTTCATTCATCATCCTGATGGTTGTTCTTTGCCTTCTGAATCCTGCCCGTATGCTCATGGGACTGAGGAACTAAGGCAGTCTCAGAAGATTAAAAAGAAGAAAAATATACAGTAATAAAATGCCGCCACTTATGTTTAAGCTGATGTACATAACCAAATATGTGACTGACTTTGGGACTGCCTAGTGCATGAAGATCTGTACAGTATGGAGGGGTTTCCCAATTCCTATGCATCTTATTTTCCATTTAATTTACAAGTTCTGCATTTCTCATTCTTTTATTTTGTCATTAACATGGGAAGTGTATGTAGTAAAGTATGTAATACTTCTGGATTTTGTTTCGGCTTGACTAGCGTGCATTTGTATAAGTTGAAAAGTTTAAAAGCTTTGTTTCCTAGGGCACTCTTCATGATCCTCAATGAGATCAAATGTACATGATGCATCATTTTCAGACCATGAAAATCAGCTGATTTTTTTTCTAGATTGTCCAGGAGTATTTGTGATTTCTTATGACTCAGAGGCTCTATCAGTCAAACTGGTGAGATTTCACTTTCCTGACCTGACAGCGTCTTCTCCCTGTTACTATGATATAATATTACATGTTATCCTTTGTTTCTTGGTCAGGCCCTAGTCCTCTAGTCCATGTTTTCCATACTGATTCAAAATCAGTGCTAAATTGAAGAATAACTTCCTGGGAAATCATTGTGAAAGTTTTCACAGTAAATGTAGGTTTTTACGGCTATGTAGGTCATCCTGTGCTTTCCCTCTTATTTTTAAAGTAAGGAGTAACAGTAACATTGGAGTGGAAGGGCTTGGCTTATCGGATAACAGAGGAATGTCTTAGCACCTTGTGCGGGTGATGGTTTGCTGTTAGTTTATGTAAAAGGCTTAACTTTAAATGTACATCCAAAGAAGAGCAATGAAGCTTGTGAAGTGTCTGGAGCCCAAGTCTGACAAGGACAAGAGGTAGTGGCCTCAAGCTGTGCCAGGGGAGGTTTAGATTGGATATGAGGAAAAACTTCTTCACTGGAAGAACTGTTAAACTGTTGGAATAAGCTTCCCAGGAAAGTGGTGGAGTCACCATCCCTGGAGGTATTTAAAAGACATGTAGATGTGGCACTTAGGGACATGGTTTAGTGATGGACTTGGCAGTGCTGGGTTAATGGTAGGACTTGATGACCTTAAGAGTCTCTTCCAACCTAAGTCATTCTATGAACTTAGCAGAAATCCTAATTATTTCCCAGTAACAGTCACTGAACTAGTGTCATAATTCATATCTGTCAAGTGCAAAGTACTTTTAAAATTCAGTATCTGAAATGTGGAGGTGAGAGCAATGACATAGAAATGGATTGCAAGACAAAGAGGTCTAGGGATAAGAATGAGTAAGCTGTGTGAGAACTCTGTAAGAGCTCAGGGAATCTGAAGAACAAAGGAATGAAATAATTGAGGACAAAGCAGAGGAGAAATGAAAGATGACACTATGAACACCTTTCAAAACCATTCCAAAGCCACTTTTCTAACACCCTGACTTTGATCCAACATGTTCCAGTCCAGTGTATGCAGAGGAAGCAGGGTCTGAATGTGTTTGACGTGCCAGGAGCACGTCTGAAGTGTTGCATGTTCTCCCTTCTCTTTGCACTCCTGGAAGAAGCAGTAGCTCTTGATAGATAACAGTGACCCTGATAAGTGCAGCAGTACCTTACTCCTGGATCACAGACCATGTTATGCAGTATGCCAGGTAGCACAGGAGCTATGGTGGGCTCTGAGTCTTTCCCCATGCCTCTGGTCTGCAGTGTTGGACCGTGTGTCAGCAACTGAGCCCCACACAACCACTTACTCACTGTTGTTGTTCCCACCCAACATCCAGTGGGATGGGGGAGAAAAACAGAAGAGTAAAAGTGAGAAAACTCATGGATTAAGATAAAGACAGCTTAATAGGTGAAACAAAAGCCACATGCACAAGTGAAGTAGAAAAAGGAATTCATTCACCACTTCCCACATGCAGGCAGGTGTTCAGCCATCTCCAGGCAAGCAGAGCTCCAGCATGCATAACAGTTACTTGAGAAGACAAGTGGTGTAACTCTGAATGTCCCTCCCTTCCTTCTCCCAGCTTTATATGCCAAGCATGACACCATATGGTATGGGATAGCTCCTGCGTCCATTAAGGTCAGCTGTTCTGGCTGTGTCCCCTCCTGGACTCCCAGCCTACTTGGTGGGGCAGTATGGGAAACCCAGTCAGCCTTGATGATGTGTAATCACTGCTCAGCAATAACTTAACATCCAAATTATCAACACTGTTTCCAGCAGAAATCCAAAGCATAACCCCATACCAGCTACTGTGAAGAAAATTACAAAAGCAGCACACCATGTCCTGAATTTAGCACTAGGCATTTCAAAAAGAAGATAAACCCTTGGGTAAGGGGCAAATCGGGTGTAGTTCAGTTAGGGTGATTGGAAAAAAAGGAAAGAATAGTGTAAGCCAGATGAACTGCAACTTCTGTGAAGCAGGGCAGCACAGTAAGGGAACACAGCTGATGGTCTTCTTACTGGTATAGGAAACTCAGGAAAATAGCTTATTGAGGGGACAGATTTGAGAACAGCCATGGAATTACATAAACTTGCATGCAATCAAGTGTGAAGTCGTTTGTGTTAGCCTTTATTTGGCTACATGCAGGGTAAGAATTCCCCATGATGCTTACTGTGGTAAACATACTGATAATGTTTGATAAGAAGAAGGCTCCTATAAAACTTAAGTTCATGTTATCTGCATATGGAGATTGCTTCCAGATGGTGCAAAGAGCAAAAACAGACTTTCAATTGTTTTCCTGTCATTGGTCTTCTCTAATGATTCACATTGGGGTTGGATGTGTTTGACTTGAAACATTTCCTGAGTTAGATAGAGTTCACCTGTGGAGCCTCTCAGATGGGCTTGCAGGAAGTCAGGGTTAAGAATTTGGAAGAAGGTTGGCTGTATTTTGGTTGTGCCTTTTTTTTCACGTCATTCTTTCCAATAACTGGTGAATGAAATACCTGCTTGACTCATTGAAGTCAAAAATGCACACAAGATAAGACCAGTGAATTAGCTTTACCTCTTTTATTATTTTTGCAATGCTATCAGAACTAGTGTAGCATACAATGATACTGTAGTACCCTGCCTCCTACTGTCTCTGAACTCACCAGCGCACAGATTGTTGCAGATGTACAAAGGCTGTTCCCCTTCCTGTTTGGCATCCCTGCAGGTGGCAAGCCAGGCAGCAAATCTCCTATAATTACACAAACTTCCCTGTTGTTTGGAGAAGTGGTAAGAGAACATTTTTGCATCTAAATGCCAGCCTTATATAATTCAGCATTTAAATGTGAAGGTAACTGCTGAAGGTGTGAAATAGCTCTGCTTTCTCTAAATTCTGTATCTTGTTGCTTTCTCTGTGACCCACATGCTTAAAATGGCATTAATACAATATTCAGCTTTAGCGATGAAGTACTATACAGAGTAAGAATCAGTTTCTCTCCTGATAACAAAGCTCTTGCTCCACAAGGGGTTCAAGCATAAAGTTTAACCATGACAAGTGCAAGGTCCTACACCTGGGTCAGAGCAATCCCAGGCACAGCTACAGGTTGGGCAGAGAAGAGATTCAGAGCAGCCCTGTGAAGAAGGGCTTGGGGGTGCTGGTTGATGAGAAAATGAACATGAGCCGGCTTCAGTGTGTGCTCGCAGCCCAGAAAGCCAACCGTATCCTGGGCTGCATCAAAAGGAGTGTGACCAGCAGGTCGAAGGAGGTGATCCTGCCCCTTTACTCTGCTCTCATGAGACCTCACCTGGAGTATTGTGTGCAGTTCTGGTGTCCTCAACATAAAAAGGACATGGAACTGTTGGAACAAGTCCAGAGAAGGGCCACGAGGATGATCAGGGGACTGGAGCACCTCCCATATGAAGACAGGCTGAGGAAGTTGGCGCTGTTCAGCCTGGAGAAGGGAAGGCTGCGTGGAGACCTCATAGCAGCCTTCCAGTATCTGAAGGGGGCCTATAGGGATGCTGGAGAGGGACTCTTCATTAAGGGACTGTAGTGACAGGAGAAGGGGTAACGGGTTAAAACTTAAACAGGGAAAGTTTAGATTGGATATAAGGAGGAAATTCTTTCCTGTTAGGGTGGTGAGGCACTGGAATGGGTTGCCCAGGGAGGTTGTGAATGCTCCATCCCTGGTGGTGTTCAAGGCCAGGCTGGACAGAGCCTTGGGTGCGATGGTTTAGTGTGAGGTGTCCCTGCCCACGGCAGGGGGGTTGGAACTAGATGATCTTAAGGTCCTTTCCAACCCTAACTATTCTATGATGCTGTGAAAGTCTGAATTTTTCAGGTGATGCTCTCATTTTACTCTGTGCTTTATTAGTATCACTTCCCATTAGTTAATTTGTCATTATTTGACATGTAGGTTATAATGGGAAAATACGTGGTATTGTAGATACCTCACAAGAGTGAGACTATGAAGAGAAGTTAGATGTCTAGAACCAGAACTGCTGGGGTCTAGAGATTTTGTATTTCCATCTTCAGATGAACTACAATTCCAGTAAGTCTACAGAAATATTCTGAATTAAATAAGATCCAAAAAGTATATGTTTATGTTCTCCCTTAAGCCTCAGTGAAGGACTGAATTGTAGTTTTTTATCAGGTCCTTAAACCTAAAGAAAAAAAAATACAGTAAAAGTTTTTACTCATAGAATATCCACCTATAGCTTCACAGCAGTCTCTTTCTGGCGCATTTCAAACCAGGAAACTTTTCTGTGTATGTGTCAGTTTGGGTTGTTCTGTTTACGATGTTACTGTCACCACTTCATGTTACAAATGATTAGCTCAGATTTAGAGCAATTCCTAGAGGAAGTGTTCTAGCTTGCCTGACAGCAAATACAGGCCTCTAGGTATGCTTTGTAATAACAGGCTGCTGCTTATGGGTTTGGGGGCTTGTTTGTTCCGATTCAGAGTTTTAAGTGAAAATTTCTAGCTACCCCATCCCTGGCAGTGTTCAGGGCCAGGCTGGATGAGGCTTTGAGCAACCTGGTCTAGTGGAAGGTGTCCCTGCCCATGGCAGAGAGGTAGAACTAGATGATCTTTAAGGTCCCTTCCAACCCAAACCATTGTAGGGTATTACAAACTAACTCTTTACCTTCAGTGATCTTAGCATGTTTTAATGAGCTGGAATCTACCTTTAGCTATATAAATAAGACAAGGGTGAGCAATCCTTTGTTTTGCTTAGGCATCATACTGGCAAATTATTTCAGAATCAACACATG